TGCGCGATTGCGATTTGATAATAGGAGAGCAGCGCTCAGTAGATGATTCCCTGCCAAGCCCACCAAATCTTTCTGATCGAAAATTCTGGCTTTGCAGCTGGTTCTCAATTTCATCCGGTTGAAATCGAGCCGATTTTTCGAGGTCTTCTTGTGATGGTCTTTTGGAGCTCAGGCGAGTCCAGCAAGCGCTGGTGAACAACCAAAACTTGTGCGACTGCGTGATTCTTCTGGCCCGCGGGTTACTGTAAGAGCTCATTCGAAATAGTAGCTATTAGGAAATTTAATCCCTCCGTAATTATCGGTATTCTGACTGAAAATTATCCAATAGGTTTACACGCAATGCGCCTAAATATTTTGTCASACGCTCTTTGCCAAACTGAAAAATCTTGTGCGAGACACCTTTGACGAACCTAGGGAAGTTGCTGGGATTCATATTAACTTAATAAATTTGTGGTAAGCTCAAAACGCTTCGTCGATCTATGAGGATCTGCTGATCCATCTTTAGGTATTTGCGGATAACCCAAAGCTCGAATAGTAACTGTTCAAGTGAGATCTTTCGATTTTGCATCAGCCCTACGACTTAACCTAACCTAACTRTAAACTATTCTAGACGGTGTTTCGAAGAAGTATTTCTAGAAGTAAAAATTCCTCCGCTTTGCTTAAACTTTAACACAATTTTTGATGTACCGGATTTTCCTAAAGAAATGATATGATTTCTAAGTGCCGCTTCGGACATTTTTAATGTAATATGTAATGATCTCAAATTTTTTTTTCATTGTGTGCTGGCGATTCGTCGATGATGTTCAAGACAAAGAACCACTCGAAGTAATGAAAATATTGCTGCCGTTCAGACAAGTGTTACTAAAGACCGCATTTTGACGATGCGATGCTTTGAAGCCGTTCTCAAGAATTGTGACTATCTCAAACCACAATGTGTCGGACTTTAAGAAAGATTTTCGCCTTGCCTGCGTATGAAATTATTCTCACACCAGAACTGAAGCCATTGGACCACCATAATCGTCGTGAGCTGCTGATTTTACTTTGGAACAACTTGAAAACGATAAGGATTTTTTTTTTAATCATCTACTCCGATGAGACTCACCTTCATCTGAGTGGCGCGGTAAATAAACAGAATTTTCGATTTTGGTGCGAAGAAAATTGACGGTTTGGCGTGGTTTTTGGTCTGATGGAATCATCAGATCGTACCTCTTTCGAAATGAAGCTGTTGATCGCAATTGCAAAAAGTTGATCTTGACAACATGTGGTTCCCATAAGACGGTTCCACGTGCCACTCAGCCATTTGTTTTATAATGGAGGCTGAATTTAACGACTGTTGTGACAAATATACCTTCTTTGACCACACTGGCGTTGAAGTCGCCAAGCACGATATTGATATCGTGGCTGGGGCAGCTAACATAGATGAGCTTCAAGCGCTCATAGGAGGCACCTTTTCTTCSGTCGAGGYGTGGGCACAAATCARCGATATGTTGAAGAACTTCGCTTTGAAGCGGATTGTAGCTAGACGTTCATTAACCGTTGTGAGTGCCAAGACTCGGCGACGGARTCTCTCTCCCACCACGAATCCCACACCGAATTTGCGCTCCTTTCTAWGGACACTGTATGTGTGCCACAAGAATCTACACGTCTCAGTCCTTGACCCATTCATCGCACTTCTTGGAGGGTTCATACCCTTAAATCGTAATCCATAATGCGTTTGCCATAGTCCAAGGCTGTTGTTTCTTTTCATTGGGTTTTTTTTTAGGTGGCGGATCCCAAATCCAGCGCAGAACTCTGGWGAGGTATAGTTCGCCTGCCCATGGCGAATGAATGTTTTTTGGCTACTCAGAGGATGCTTGTTCTAAAAACGCTGCTTGAGCAATATGTAAAAAAATGTTCGCCGGCCACTACGAAGTAAATGGCACTGAGAGAACCTTCTTCACTTGCGTGARCTTCTATACATAACTACATCTTACATACTCATGACTTACAGAGCATTTTAACCGTTAATTTCTAAACTATGCAACGTATATTCACAACTACTTTAAACAACAGCAACAAAAGTAAAATGTCGATGAAAATTTCAATTTCACAACCACAAAGCCGGTTTGTCTACGATAATTTCCAAGATATGTTGTAGCCACTCTTAAATTGTTTAAATGCACAAAGGTATTACAAAGTATTCTCCTCCTGTTGTGGCAGTCTCTCGCTAACATTCAAATACAAATTGAACAACAACGTGTTAAGAAAAACAAAAACAGCAAACAGCTCATCGTTAGACAGAAAAGTAACTAAGCAACTTTGAACTTTGCGAAAGCACAATAAATGACAATAAAAATGACAGCGTGCACTTTAGAAGCATATACACAAGTGAACATCAGAGATTAGAATAATCCTGCACTTCCCACATACGCACACACACACACACACATACACACTATACATATATAAAGGCATGAGCATATGCAGCTAATAGTTGGAGAGGGCACACTTGGTACTCTAGAGCCACACTCAACTTTAAATGGCAATAAAATTGTAAATTTACCGTCTCAACGCCAGCAAGGTTGTGCCGGAAAGGTAGCGCGGAAACGGAAGCGGATATGAAAACAAAAGGTTCACTTTCACAACTCAAACACACAAACAAATATATATATTTACATGAATGTACATACAACCAGGCATGACTTCATAGCGGTTTATAAATACATATTGAAATTGTTTGTTTCTTTTTTTTTTTTATTTGGACACAATATTTATTTTACAGACATTTTCTAACTGTAGTTTATACTGAAACCTCTGTGGGTTACTCGAAGAGTGATATAAATGCTATTGCAACTTATATTAATATTTAATTTATGTAAAAAACATGAGGAAAATTAAAAAAAACGTTAATTACTTTTTTATCAAACTTTTTCAAGAGTCTAGTAGGGACGATAACCATTCACATACTTTTTAAGAATAAGTTGGATTTTTGTGTTTCAGACGATCCAAACATGAGAAATTTYGTCAACCAATGAAAACACGCAACTCATTCACCCAGCCATTTCTCCGCCAGATGTCATCAAAAAAATCCGAAAAAATTTATTTATGCACTCCATGATATACCTCATGCTATGTGAAAAAAGTTCTATGGTAGAGTAAAAATTTCTATRAAAAAAAATGTCAAAAAAACAGGACAGATTAATCTACTGACCTCTTAAAGCATATTTTCTTCACTGTTTCCGTAGTGCCTTGCTATTGACGTATCCGGCCCTTACCAGACTGTGATCAGTGAATATTCCAACCTTATTCTACAGTTCCTTCTCTCAAGTGCCAGTAGGAGCATGGTATGTTTCCGATCTATCGATTTGCCATGCTCCTGTCCAAAACGTCGTATAATCAATGCATGGATTTTCCAATGTTGATCACGCTGATGAAGCTGACGGAGACAGTAAAACATCTGCTAAGAGAATGCAAGGCTAATGAACTTCATCAGAAGCACTAGGCGGTTCAGAGAAGAGACAATARAGTGAGAAAATATTAGTTCCGGTGATATCATAATGAGCCTCCTAAAGACCTTGGTGCCAACTCTGGACAGTATAGTMMCGCACCACCTCTGTCAATTTTGTAAGACGCGCTTTGCCGAMGCTGTTTGGAAGAAAGCCGCAATAATATTGAAATATCTCGGTAGACACAGCTTTGAAGAACTTATAATTTGTGACTGGGATTGATATTAATGATCTTAATAAATTTAAGTTGAGTCAATCTATGAAGTAATGCACTTTAAGCAAATTTTTGGGTAACAAAACAGGCGAATATCCAAGTGAGATCCATCGTAAGCTATGAGTCTATAAATTTAGGTTTCTCGACTCGACTAAGAAATCGAGTCGCAACAAGATTCTCAAATCGTTGGCTAGCAACAGATTTCAACTGGATGTCTTAAACTGCACCTCACAATATTTTCGCATTGGATTAGTAAATTACAAATTAATAAATAGATAAAGTTTGACCAGAGTACCRCACTCCACATCATTTCAAAAAGGCCCTTGCTGTTTCATATTTTTATTAAAAATCATAAAAAACTCCTACTTGGAGCGTTTCTGCTGAAATGTTTTCGTTGCCAAACTTGGAGCCACTTGCTTAAAACGGGACCGTGTTATAAAAACATCAAAAGTTCATTCCCACAATATCCCAACCGGTTTTTGTAGAAAACCTTGCAGTCTCTTACTTGRAAACATCGAAATTTCATTCCAATATTACACTATCGACATCGAACATATGACCGACGAAATTAAACACTATTCATCAAGGAACCATTAACAATTTCATCCAGTCTCTTCCAATCAACASCATCCTTTGAGTGAATTCACCACCTAAGACAACCAGACAACAAGATTGAGTTGTCCGAACGAAGACACATTGGCGCTTGAGTAATTGAGATATTGTAGTATATTGAACACCTGCTTATTTAGTCAAGACCAAGTCATATTCGGTCGTGCCCTACATGAGAAGAGTTTCARCCGTTTGTACATTAAGGTTCAATCCCTTGAAAATCCTGTCCCTAAAAGTTTACAAAGCTTTTTTTTTCATATAGTACTATTTATACGTTAATGTAAATATTATATATCGTGATATTTTTTATGTTCGGCTKCATTTAAATGTCTGAAAAATAAAACTTCAATCATATATGTATGTACCATATATATGTGTGCACCATCCTCAATTTAACAACAAATAATTTTTATTTAACAGAGTCTCTTTCCACGCATACTCGAGACGACTCCAGCTGGCATTTCAAGAAATCAATTCAAGCATTTTGGCCAGCTTATAAGAACAGGTAAGCAAAAAAAAAAAAACATGGACAACATCGCCCTAGTTTTCGATATATAAAACTGTAATTCGTGCCTATTTTTATAATTTACATATTCGTATAAATAACTGTAAGTAACGGGTAACGGTAAGTAAGAGCGCTACAAAAGTTTTTTTAATAAAACAAAACCCGTTTGGAATACATTTGATACCTATGTATGTGTGGAACTCGATTTATATGCACAGAAACGCACCGCCGGCCCATAAACCTCACCAAACCGTAATTTTTTCGGGGTGCAATGCGGACCCCTGGAGTACATGTGGATTGCTGCCTGACCAATAACGCATATTTTGCTTATTGACAAAGTCTTTCAGCCCGAAGAGAGCCTCAGCGCTGAACATRATTTTTCGATAAAAATCCGGATAATTTTCGCGTTGTTACTCAGCCCAATTCACGCACAGACGAAGATTCTGGTGGTCAAGCTTCAGTTCTTTTGTCAATTTGATCTTGTTAGGACGTAGTCCAAGATCTTTACGCAAAATTCGCCACAACGTCACAAAGATACGCAAAGCTTGAGAACGACGTRYGAGARACTGATTTGGATCTTCCGCTAAAGCGCTACAGGCAGCAATATTCTCGACACTACGGGCACTTCTTTGTCTCACTGGCACGGGAACATTTTTTATCGTGCCTGTGGATTCAAATTTTTCTACTAGACGTTCAATTGTTGATCTGAGAGGACGATTATGACGACAATAAATTTAAAAATGAGACTCCGAATTTAGATAGTAAATATTAATAATTTCGACTCGTTGTTGGATCGTAACACTTTCCATGATGAAATGCCAAACTTTACTGAAGAGAAATAGCAAAAGAACGGGAAAAAATATGGCGTCACTATTGAAACCCCCGTTATTAGGGTTCTGGAAATTAGCGGATGTGCAGTCGCAAGGTCCTCCTGGCCCAGGACAAATTTCTGTCCCAACAAGATCCACCTATCAATGTTAGTAGAAGTTCTAACTGACACTCTCCAATCGGGGTAAGAGTTGTAAGATTGAATATCTTACCGGCTACCAGCTGTTAAAACAGCTCGGATCTCATACTTTTGATAGCCAGCTTAAAAAAAAGAAAATACAAATGAAACATATAAGCAAATCTGTGACAGTTGCAGAGCGTTTTTGCCGATAGCTGATATCTAGAAGTTTTTGTTGTGGTTTCATAAAGGACTGCACAGTCTAAAAGTCTCCGCTATGCTGAGGATTTAGTTTTCTAACCTAACTTAACCTGATGTTTTAGTAGGAGACATAGATGAGATGCTAGACAAGTTGAGGATATATGAAACAGCTTGTAGCGCTCGATTGTTCTGTAATGCTTATCAAACAAGATTTCGATGTTAAATTAAAGGTTATATTCAAATGATTTAGAGTAATATTACTTAATTAAATTAATTAATAATTTAAGTATTATTTACGAAAAAATTTCATTATTTGGAGAAATTATCTGCCCACTCCACAATTTACAGGTAAATTCCAAAAATATGACTACCAATCCGAGGACGAAAATCTGCGGCATTATAAACGCCAAACCCCGCCAGAGTATAATTTACGCAATGTACGCGTACCCCTGCATCTATTTATCGGCACACGAGATTTACTACTGACCAAAGCAGTGAGTTCAAATCCTTTCAGCTTAATTCAGTCTGAAATTAATGCGATACTTTTCATAATTTTTAAGGATGCCATACGTCTTACGAAGGAACTGAAGAATGCCAAATATACGCTACATGAATTGCATGGTATCAATCATATTGACCTATTGTACTCTTCTATGGCGCCACGGTTAATCTATAAACACATTGTTAATAACGCGAGAAATGTGACGCTCAAAAGTGGGTCCAGTGTATAATGGGAACACTTCTAGTCAATAAAAATTTGTTACAAAGTAAGCTAAAGTCGTTGAGAATACATTTATTAGCATATAATTTGAATCTAAGTCATATTTGTAAGCATAAATTGTAAATAAACATAATTTTGTGTACGGAATTAAATTTCTGATGACGAAACATTCAGAATGTTGGAAAAGTACTTCGGTGATAATTGTTTGACGCGAGAGTTTTTGATTGCTACAAATTATTCAAAGAGGGTCATAAAAGAGGCCATCAACATCAACTGATGGTGAACACGTCAATAAAACATAGGAATTGGTGCTTGACAATCGACGACAGTCAGAGATCTTACAGGCAACGTTGGAATATCTTAAGAGGGTATTCTAGTCTAGAATGTTGAAAAAACCGATTTYTTTGCATATTCTTAAAGACTGGASCTTTAARAATATATTCCCCAAAGGAATTTTTAAAATTCCTATTATTTACCGATTAACGAAATGTAAATATAGACTGCCTGCAGTTAGATTCAAATCTTTAATCGCGT